CGCTTTATTCGCCTATCAGGGGCAGACAGGTAAGGTGATTTGATTCGCCACGACTCCAGAAATGATTGAAAAACTACAGAATGTCACAAAATTACGTTTCCTCGCTGCTGGCTTGAAGGGTAGAAATGCGCAGCCGCGCTCCCAGCTGACAGGAAGTCAAACCACTGTTGTAGTTCTTTTGTGTTGCTAGCGCGGTCAAGAGTGTTGGCTCTCACTGAGAGATGACTACAAAAATGGACGCACCTGTTCATCTGGTTGTTAAACACGGCTGAAAATGATCATCTTTTAATGTTGTTCCCGCTCCTGCCCACTCCCGTTGCTTTTTTTCCCGTCCCGTCCCGATCAAGGGATTAATTAAAAAATGACTCCCATCCCGTGGGATTCCCGTGGGAATCACGTGACCCACGGGAATTCCCGAAAAATGTCATCCTCTACAGGGAAGGTCCCAGAGCAGATGAAACAGGTGCCGGAGCGGCTGAAATAGGTCCCGGTTCCGATCAAAAGAGGTCCCGGATCGCGCTCCGACTTGCTCCGGCACAAATTAAGCACTGCTTACAATGATCCCCTCACGTGTGTAACCCAGGTAACCCGCAACGGCGGGAGACGCTGGACACAAAGAGGGCAAGTAAAGCGGCGTCATGTCGCAAAATCGAAAGAGAAATGCAAGCCTACATGTCAACGCATCCTTTTCTTTGTAAGAAAATATTGTTTTCTTTCCCGTTCGACACCAAATACACTTACTGAATGTGCAATTATTGTTGTTGTTACTATGAATCATCTGATGGCACAAGCCCTATGGATAAAATACAGCCTATCGCCCGAAACGATAAAAATAAAAATGGCACGATAGACATTTTCTATCGTGCCCACGATATCTATCGTCCTATCGCCCAGCACTAGTGCACACCACGAGGCAGAGAAATCCCAGACAGTCAGTCACAGCATCCAGTGCAGTTGGCCCCCACTGAGGAAACACTGGAAAAACACAATAAAAACACAAACTACAGTGAACATCAAACTAAATAAAACTATAATTATGAATAAATAGTAAAAATATCATTAAAATCAAGTAATAAAGAGAATAAACATAACGTAAAATGAGGACTAAAATATATCAATAAAATAAGATTAAAAAAAATAGATAAAAATAAGACATTAGTTGTCTGATGACACTCTTTCTGCGGGAAGCTCTAAGTTTGACAAAATGGAAATCCCTCATTGTAGCTTTAAACTGCAGTGTGTTGAGCTGTCAGGGCTGCAACAGTTTTGGTTTGAGTCTCATACATATGTTGTTCATTCTATTCAAATAACATATGTTATCAGAAAACAATCAAAGCAGGTCATCAAACTATGTTTGCATGTGGTGTACATTATTTGACGGTTTGTGACTCTGCTGTTTATATTCTTTACCTCACACTTTTACGCCAACTGGGCCCTGTTGAAAGACTTGTTTTGAGATGCTAACCTATGCCGTTTACTTCATTTCACAAGCTAACATGACCTTGTAAATTTTATTCCACTTTGTGTGGTGGAAAAGCTATCACTTCATCCACTTGTTTTATTATAAAGCTGGTGATACATTAAAAAGACTGCTAAGCACCGTCTTTATGAGACTGACAGGAATATAACACAGTAATGGGCCACACAGCTTCTTGTAGACCACAGAGAAAACACAATGGGGCCCCGTTGTAAGAGCCGGCTGCACTGGTACCCTGTGTGGAGATGGTGACAGCAGAGGGTAAAAATCTGTCACCAGTAGGTATAAATACCATGTTTTGATGGTTGGTCTGCTTTTTGTAAAAGTGACTTTTAAATGTTTGTCTTCTTTTCAGTTTTTGTCTATTCTTCATGTATTGTATTTGTATTTATTTATTTAGCACAGATTAAAAACAGTGCAAGGAGGGAACAAAGCCAATAGGCTTATACAGAGTTTCACTCCCGTCAGGGCAGTAAATGCATAGGGTGCAAACAGCCAAGTAATTAGGACATAGACAGGTTATAAATATACAATGAGAAGGGAAAGGTCAAAACATATACAAACTGTCATAAATAGAACATAGACTAATCATCAACCAGCCTAACCAGAGATGGAGAAATTATAAATATACATTAAAAAGAAAAGGAACATGAAAATAACAGAAAATGGTGTGTTTAGGACATGATTAGATGTGATTTCAATAAAGTGTCAGGAAGGTCTTGTTTCCTATTGATGAACTTAAGGACAAACAAGCAAACGTGAAAGACATTGAGTTTCTCAATCGGTAAGATTGAGTATTTAGTAAAGAGAGGTGCAGAAGGTTCGTGTCTGCTTGATCGAGATATCATTCTTAAGTTTGTAAAATTCACAGTGTGGTCCTGCTAAAAGCCTTGCTTTATTGTAAAAAAATAATTATGTGAAATTAGCTGGACCTACTTGCTGGTCAGGCACCTTCTGATACTGTAATAAATTAAAGGGAACCAAATATGATCTACTGAACTAAAAGAAATGTTCACCCACTCTACAAACTCCGACAGCAACATTTTGAATTTAGAAATAAAGCCAGTAAATTCTTAGTTAGCCAGTTACAACAACAAACATAGAAATCATTTATTTCGGCAGTTATAGATCCCAAATCTGTTTTAAACTGTTTTTTTTAATAACTAACGGAGGTTTCAAAACCTTTGCAGTTACAAAGAAGTACTGGACAAGGATGCCCTTTATCCCCACTTCTCTTTGCTCTCTTTATTACTTCCTTTGTCCTAAGAGATCAGGAGGAGTTCAGGATTTCCAAGGAGACAAAGTAAAAAGTAAAGCAAAAAAAGTCTACAACAATAAAAAAGGGTGATTTTATATCAGATCTAAATATATATACTTTCTTCATCTTGAGTTAGACAGCAGCCCATATGCAAAAGCGAACTATAGTTATACTGACAAATTCCCTGGACTATAATGACAAAAATAATAAGATAAAATAGGTTAAGATAAGAAGAACTTTACTAATCCCCTAGGGAAATTTAATAATATGATAATATGCTGTTATCCCTTAAATATTGATATAATACAGCAATAAAATGTTTGTTTGGTTTTTTTTTTGCTTCAGCAAAAATAGCTGTTTCAGGGCAGCAAAGAAAAATATGCATTTCTGGGTACTGATCTTTTAAGCTTAAAAAAAAAGAAAAAGGGAATTTAAAAGTTAAATGTTTTCAACAACATGCACTACTCTTTAGTTTTGCAGGTTTCTTTAGAGTACCAGCTGTAAAACCAAATATTATCCATGCATAGAGCCTAAAGCTGCGGGAAAACAACAATCAGTGTCACAATAAAGTGTATTATTTGAAGGAAATATCAGCAAAGTAGGAATCAGAGGCTTTTTATCGACCAAAATAGACAAAAACATCTATCTCTGCAAAAAGCAGGTGCTATTTTCTGTTTTTATATTGAAAGCATTTGCCGGTTAAAAGCTCAAACTTACTTTCCTCGTCGTCTGTGTCCAGAGACAAAGAAAGAAGAGGAAAGAGAAAGACAAAGATCAGTCAGAGAAAAGCTTTTTAAATGATAAAAATTGGAGGTCTTACACCAGATTTAGAAGTTTGTACTTACAACAACGAAGCACAGGCAGAAGGAGAGAGAGAAGGATAAAATTGTTCATCAAACTGAAAAATACTCTTGCAAGTATAAAGGCATAAATAAACTCTAAATAATTTAAGGCCATGTTCAAGCAACAAAGAAGAGCAGTACCATTGTCAACATTTGCTAACGTTACTTATCAGCGTTTCCAGGTTTGGATTTTTCCATTGTACTGCACCAGATAAATCAACGATAATGCCAACCATTATACATGCATACAAAGCTAGACGTAGAGCTTACAGCTGTCAAAAACAACAATCGCAAGTATATTTTTCACAACATATCTGCAAAAACACAGTTTAGGTACAATTGTGCTGAAAGGTTGTTCTTACTGTCTTCGTCCTTGGTGTCCAGGAGGAGATCAGGAGACAAAAGAAAAAAAAAAGAGGAAGGTTAATGAGAATGTCTTTAAATGATTACTACATAAATGAAACATTATCAGATTTAGAAGTTTGCACTTCCTTTTTTTATCCAAGCATCAACAGAGGACATCACGGGGAGAGTCCTCTCATGAGGTCCTATGTTGATCCAGGTTTTGGCTGGTCGTCCTTTGGGTTTTTCTTGCTCCACAAACTCCATATGGTTCCAGATCTTTATGTTGTCGGCATCACGTTGCGTAAAAATATTCAGGTCCTCTTTGAAAGTACAGATCATGAATAAAGCACAGTCCAGCAGAATCAGGAACAGGAGCTGGAGCAGCAAGAAGTGGAGTAGCAGGAGTGGCAGGGGAAGCTTCAGAGTCAGCAATCATGGAAAGGGTGCCAACGGTCAACAGGGTATTGCTGCAGACCTGGAGACTCTCCTGTGAGGGCTCTCGTGTCAGGACGGGGCGCTTCCTACGGCAATACCAAAGGGTCAAAATTCATGAAATGATAAATCCTAAGGCAATACTAAAGGGTCAAAAAGGTCAATTTTCTTAAAACTATAAAAAAAATGGGTGCACAGGAACTTTTAGGGAAACAATAGATGGCAATGATGGCGCTTACTAGCAAGGTGGGTATATACAATGAACGCTGAACAGTTGTCAGTCCGGGGTGGGCGGGGGCTGCCGCACGTTCGTTGGTCCGAGGGAGGGCAGGTCCTGTTATTTATTCCATGTTTTAACTGATTGTATTAATAAAATGTATGATCATTGTAATCATTAATAAAATAAATTTACATTTTCTAATTGTGTACTTGAGACTAACACACACAAAAAAACCACTTACTGTACGCAGGATTTTGTTTTCTTCTATGTTGTTTCTTCAGGTCCATGTGAGTGTCTTCCATAAAACAAACCCACCACAGGTGACACAATGCACAGAGTGCTGCTCTTTTTTCCATTGCCCCCTTTGCCCACCTGGCTTCTACAAGCCTCAAGTGAGAGGTAAAGTAATACAGCACTTGGAGGTGCATGAAAGGAATGCACTTCAATGCAAAGGTTAGTTACACTCTTTTCTCTTTTTGCCATCATCACTATACTGCCGCGAAGTCTAACCCATTAGATAAGAACTTACTCTCTCACTATGCAGAGAGTAATCATGAGTAAAAAAAAGTGTTAGTGATTCTGAATTTAAAATTCATACACATTGATAATGTAAACACGATTGCCTTCTTCCAGCTAAGAAATATTGTGAATTACAGTCTACAGCATAACACAGCTTCAGCCATGTTGTAGGTCCCTGGTTGATTTTTGAATATCAGTGTAGTCTATTTTTTATTCCATAAGTAAACCAGATAATGTTGTACATGATGTCTCTGTCTCTTCTACTTGTACATAGATTTCTACATAACAAAGTGCCATCAAGCCTGCAGGACAGGAGGCAGTGGCCATTTCCACTGCCCTCTCTGCAGTAAAACTGTAATCCGAAGGGAGAATGTAGAGAGGCACCTGAAAATGTGCCCTCAACTGTCCGTTTTACAGATGCATAACCCTTTTGCCCAGCTAGTTTTTCCCCATACTATTCACTTATTGTTCAGATAATTTTGCTGTGTCCATACATTTTGACAAGATGGTGCAGTTTTTCTGTTAAATAATGTTAGATGTCTAAAAGACACTGTGTACACACAGACGCTGCATTGACGAGAGTTAAGGCTTCGTCAAAGTATGCACTATGCATAGTTGCTTTGCACCTCAGCATTACACAGAAATATTAAATGAAATACAATATTGCTTCAAATTACACATTTCCCTGATATATGGTATTCATGATTCAACAGGTGTAGGTTTTAGAAGGTGAGGAACTGTTGATTAACTTTTTTGAAACTTAGTTTTGCTTCATACATTTTGTGTCATTACCAGTTATAGTTTAGGTATGCACTGAACCTGTCAGTACTTACACCTACTGCCTTTTGTCCCAGGTAGAGGAGAGACCTGGAGAAATAAAAAATCCAAGTCATCTCATCCCTGATGGACATAAAGACTTTGGAAAGAAGGACACATCTGATGACTGTGAAGGGAAGGAAGACTTTAAAGATGACGGCATGGGACAGGAGGATTGCACTGAGCAGGAGGACAGCAGCCTTACAGTGGACAACCCTCCCAGCAGAGTGAGGCGGGCAAAATGAAGGAAGGGCCTTTGTCCACGCTGCAACCTAGAATTCCTAAATAAAAACATGAAGAAACAAATATATCGGAGACATGCAGACAATGCTGTCAGAGATGTTCATGTTTACATTAGACGGCTTGCACAGAAAATAAGCCCTGGCAGGTGGACTGAGAAGATAGGACATGATATTACGGTAACTCATGACCTATGTTATGTTATGGGTTTACATTTATTGTCTGTATTAGGTTAGGCAAAAACAATATGAATTATCACTTAGTAACACGTGTGTTTGTGTGTGTGTGTGTGTGTGTGTGTGTGTGTGTGTGTGTGTGTGTGTGTGTGTGTTAGGATTTGCCCTGCCAGATGTTCGGCAATGACTGTGGGATATTTATGTTCATAGTAAGATGCCTTTGTGCTTGTATATGTACAACAACTTGCTCTTTCTCAGGTCTAGACATGCAAGTATAAATCTGCATACATAGACTTGATGAAGAGCCAATGACTTGTATCTTATCTCTAATGTACAATCGATTAGAAAACCTCTGGAAGATATCGGTTTTGTGATATCTAGAGTTTGTTTCTGCCCAGCGTTAAATAAAGTCATTTTCTTTATTCATCTTCTGTTTCAGTACACACATTGTCTTGCAACAAATGCCTCATTTAAGTTCCAAGACGTGAGGTTACAATTTTAATTCCCCTAACAGAAAATGTGCAGCAAATAGAGCCTGGCTTTCTGTCTGGTAAAATATCCCAGAGCTTCTACTTGTGCCCCTCACATTTAGGGGGACATGCCTTTGATAAGACGATGGTGGTGTGTCCGGCTAATGGAGCGCTTTGAAACTGAAGGGTATGAGTGCACTTTATTTTAAAGGCCTAGTTCACCCTGTTTTCAATTCACTTCCATTCAAAACACTCAGCGCCAGTCTGTTCCCCTCACCTGCTCTCAACACACCGGGCGCTGATGGGGTAAGTCAATGTACCTCCTTACAGTGCTTGGAGGATGAAAGTGATGGGGCAATTTTGAAAAGAGGGTAAGCTAGGCCTTTAAGGGATTTTTGTCAACAGCAAAATATTACTATATTACTTGGTGTTGCCTCTTAACAAACTTCTATCCTCTCTCAAATTGTAGATGAAGAGCAATCGGTTTGCCTACTGCATAAGTGAGGCAGTTGAGCTTCTTGCTGGAAAGGCACAACCAATTTTCCGCATTCCACGGAGCTCTGCAGTAAGCACGGACATCCCCCAACACATAATTCGGGCACAGAAGCAGAAAAGGGCAGCAGATGATATCCTAAATGTCATTAAGACTGGAATGACAGATAGACGCCTCAAAGTATGTTGAAAAAAAAATACACTATCCATATACTTCCACTACTATTGTCTAATGAAAAGTTTCAAAGAAAAATTGCTTTAAATTAATTTGTGCACAAACCTATTTTCTGTGCACAGGCTGTCATGGCTGGTGATGAACTATCCAAATCGTTGGAGTGGTATCTCAGTGACCCAAAATTCCAGGCTGCTCTTTATTTCTTGGACGACAAGCAGTCTGCAACATTGTGGTCATACATGTCCAGTCTTTTTGATAACACTCCCACAAACATTCATGTCCAGAACAAGGTTAAGTTCTGCCTCAATGTGTTGTTTCCAGAAGTGAGTAGCTTATGGTCAAGGTAGTTTCCCTCCTCCACTCATCGTACGTTTCAGTTAGGCATCCTTGTATTCACACTTGCCGTGAATGCCAAACTCAAGCAATGGTACAGACACTGGAATTTAAAACACAATGATAGATATACTACTCATCTTCTATATAAAAATTTCTAACCTAAAAAAAATCTCAATAAATTTTTAACATGTTGACAGCTTGAGATCCAGCAAAAAATAAATCTCCAACCAGCTTCACCATTCTTTTTCATCCTACCAAACAGGCTACGATATGTGCAATTGCACATGACCAGGGTGTGAACCTGGAGGATGCAGAGCGCCTCTTTTTAGATGACCCACAGTTGCATCAATGGTACAATAAATTGTAAATTACATTTATCTTATATACATCATCCATATTTATGTATCACAGGTTATTTATTTTAGATAGGATCTTGTGTAAATGTTTTGTAAGGTGATTTACCTGTATTTGTAAAGAACCTATCTGGATATGAGTTTACTTGAAGTGGTCTTAACAATTATTGTACTTCATGCCTACACAACCTGTTTTTAATACCATAATCTCACCATTAGTCATTTATTTTTCTCCCTCCTAACCAGTGAGATCAAGAACTTCGTGGATGGACTTGAGCAAAAAATCTGAAAGGATGGGAATCCTCCACTGAGGCACCCAAGAATTAAAAATTAATTCTGCTGTAATTGTTCATGGAAAAAAATAAAAGACATCCCTTGCATGTGTCAATGACTTTATCCTCCATTTGATAAAAATTATATTTTAAAAAATCAGGCCATAATTCTAACCTGACATTAATTCATAACCCTTCGCTGCATTAATGTGAACATGGCGGCAGTGTTGCTCTATTTGGCTTTCCTGGTTTTCAGGAGGGAAATGATATAATAAATAAATAATAGTAATATAGATCTTTAAATGAAAAGACCTTGTGTTGTCTACTTTACTGATGGGAAGTGGGAACAAACAGAAATGGAAGCTGAGCAGGTCTTACAGGTTTCCAGGGAGAAATTAACCGAGGTCTAAGTAATTTTCAAACCCTTGCAAGGAAATCCTGGGTGGTAGCTCATTTTGTGGGCAAAGTGAACTTAAAATGAAAACATTTTAATTCTTTTGTATTTATTGGTCCAAAATATTGTCAATACACTGATGCAACCACCTGCAGACACGTTGAAGCATTAAAAAAAATTATAGGGGGTGTTGAAAGGGGATTAGTTCATTTCGTCCAATTTCCGATACGGGAAAGACAAAGCAGTACTACGGGAAGCAGTAGGGGCAGTGTTGTTGCTTTCAATAGACTATATGCATGCCCAGAGAGAAACGAAGAAGAAAATGGCAGAAGACAATATGCCGTCCTCCAAACGCAAGGTAATTAGCATACTGACCACCACCCTCTCCAGCGCTGCCTGCGTTTTAGTCTTCTGTGCAAGATGTACATATTAACTACATTCTACACAATCTCCATGTTTCTTTTGTTTATCGTTATCGGCATAAACTTTTGACTCCGGGCTGCTTTCTGTGCTTTTATTCTGAAAAGTCATAGCAAGAGGGGCGTGGTTTCTGTGTCCTGACACGAGAGCCCTCACACGAGAGTCTCTGGGTCTGCAGCAATACCCGTCTCCCAACGGTGGCAGAGCACTCTGTCCTGCCAACAAGATCCCAACCCAGGAATTGAATTCGGAAATTAGTATATACTTTTATTTCTTGCACAATTTTAATTCAGAATCTAAAGCTCGCAATCGTTTCATGACTTTCAAGAAAAATTGATCTCGCCACTCCTCTGCGATAAGCGGAGCTCGCTCCTTTCTCAATCTCACAACATACATGCATGCTGACATGCTGCGCCACGTAGTTCAGAGGCGTGGCATGTCAGCACCTCTGATTCTGGTAATCTGGTGGCGAGTGTTTGCAAAACAATAAAAAACCTGGTCATAGAGCACGAAACCGTCCGGAACTTTCAGCACCCCAATTGAAAACATCTGCATTCTTCAAAAAGAAGTTATGTAGTGACGTGGACGCCACACATTCTCTTGTGGATGCTAGCTTAACCATCTCTCCCAGCCCCAAAAACAGCACTGGGTCATCTCCCGCTCCATATGATGTAGACATGTGTTATATGGGGTGACGTATGTCTACATCATAACACCACCACCACCACTCACCCCGCGCCCTGCCAAAGCAAAAAAGCTAAGGGAAACACGGGGTACAAGATGCACTGCAAGAGCAGCAGCAGAAGAGAGAAGGAGGAGGATCAGCAAGACCAGCAGAAGAAGGAGAAGGAGGTGCATGGTTTGAAGGAGAAGTAGCAAGGGAGGGGGAGGAGCAGTAGGAGCACCAAGCTGAAGGGCACCATCTAGGGGGAAAAAATTTCATCAGATCAGAATCTGAGTTTCCATAAAATAGACTTAACACGAGGCCTGAAGGCAACATCAAATATTTAACAGTATGACTTTCAGTCGTCACAAATCAACAATAACTGCAGCAGATTTATGACGACAACTCGAAGAAGCATTTCTGGCAGACTTTTTAAAAGAGTTGTGCTTCTCCTCTGAATCCCTAACCCTAACCGCATGTGTGAGTGGCCTGATTTTCCTGATACAGCCTAGGTAATGGATCATCAAATGGTGCTTTGGAATCATATTTCACTCCAGGAAGACGGATTTAAAAAGCTTGTGATGATCAAATAATGGATGTTTCAAATAGAAAATCATACTACAGGTTACATCAGGTGAAAAGATGGTATTAGATCTTTTAAAGATGTAGCTGAAAAAGATACCTGCATCCCTCCAGTCTCCAAAATCTTTACATCAATAACAAGAGCTTTACAGCAGGGTCAAACAATACTTTTTTAAGTCCTCTGAGTGAACCAGAGCTACAAGATAAATGTTAAAATCAGCTTCGGTGGCAAATTCCTGATAAAGAAAAAAAAAACTTCACAGATTTCCCTGATCCTGATTTTGGACAAAAGAGACCTCATTATAGGTACAAACATAGACTTACTCATCAGCAGGAACTTACCTATGCGTGCTTCTTATTCAATCTGTGTGTATATCAAAACAAATGCACACAAATGTGCTACACAGGCTCAACAGTTTTCATTTTTCTCCAAAATGCTTCATTTTTTTTAAAAACTCTGTGTTCAAACATGATTATGCGTTTTTAATATTGTCAAAACTATTGTCAACTGTTTCTGAGGTTTCTCTGGATGCATCAGATGACAAAAATTCAATGACAGCTTCTTCTACAAGAGCATGGACGTCACTAACCAGTTCAGCTACTCCTAGTCTGAGTTTACAGGGAGTGACCCTCTGGTCCTGGACGAGGTCGACATTCTGGAGGTTGTCCTTTCTGTCGCCAAGACAAAGAAGAAAGGACTGTGCAGGATTAGTTTCCTTTAGGCAAGGCTCAATACCCACTTTGGCCCACCTGAGGGAAGACAGAATATCTACAAATTTAACATGTGTTAAATTTGTAGATATTGCAATGACAGACCCTAGATCCAGTTGTTGTTTTTTTAGGTTCCATAGTTTGAAAGGAGCATCTGCTGTACCAACTTTTGAAGACTTTTTGTCCTTGGATGTTGGAGGAAAGAGGAGAAAGGGCAAATATTTGGCAGAAACCTTGCAGACCCAAACTGCAGAATAAAAACTGACAACAGCTCATCATCCAAATCACACAGTGGTACTGACATTAGTTCACAGTTTTTTTGTACTTTAAATGCTGCTACAGTTTTTATTACTTGTAGTCCATGGACCAAAGCTAACTTTGAAAGGACATCTAAGTGAATATTTCACTTAAAACAAACAGTATGATAAGAAATCTTCAGCTATTCAATTGTGGTGAACAGTGGTGGGGTTGTCGATAAAGCTTGTTTACACAGTATTCATGTACTTTTGAGTGGGCTGTATTAAAGCATTATAAGGGGGAAAGAGAACAGCCACTGTTATAAACACAGGACTACATGATTAATATATCATCAAGAATGAGACACCTGAAGTGTGGGAGATATTTAGCGCTTATGTTCAGTTCATATCATTTGTGATACACATGAAAAAACACTGGTTTAGCCCAGTTCTATGTTGTGCTGACTTCACAGCACATTCAAATAACACTTAGGGCTCTATTTTGGTGCCTCGCCGGAGACGTGCCGCAAGCGCAGCGTCAGTCAGATCCGCCGCGCTGACAAGGCGTTCCCAAGCACATTTTGGTATTTTGGTGAGCCGCGCAGCCCGGCGTAAGTATCCCCCCTCCCTAACTCAGCTCCTCCCAGCACCATAAGTCGTAGAAAGGGCGTGTAGTGATTTTAACAAAGCCGAGACCTGTTTTCACCAATCACATAAGCTCCTCTCCTTGCCTTTAAATCCGCCAGAGGCGAGGCGTATTACTATTTTCATGAAGTAGTCAAAGAGATCAAGAGATGTCTTAAGACAGTAATGCCACAAGATGGCGACAGAGGGCAGCTCCTCAACAAGTGTCCTCCACACTCTCTCATATGAGCACAGATGGATTTAGTGTGCGTAATGTTGGACCCACTGGTAAGACAAACACCCGTTTCCACAAATAAAGACACTCACATAAAGTTGCTCATATTCAAACCTCACGTGACAAAGGTGGGTTGAGCGCACAGATCACAACATAAACTCCAAAAATGGCATTAAAATCGGAACCATCTGTGCGTAAATGACGCATCGCGCTCCGTGGCCTGGCTCTTTCTTTCATAGATGTTGGCATATAAAATAAATTTGACTCACAAAACTAAATATTATTATAATATCCGTATGTCGGCTTAAAGTAGATCACGCATCTGAGCACTGAAACAAATCATCTGTTCAGCTGCAGCAGCAGCAAGACGGACAGAGGACACGGAGACGTGTCCTGGTCGAGCTGCGCGAGAAATAAGAGGAAGAGGAAGAAAGAAAAGGAGGGAGACGAATTACATATCTTGTTAACTTCATCATGTGTGTATATTTACTAGATATTTAATTTAATTTGATGCGGTTTCAGCTGTGTTGATTCGGTCAGGTTGTGTGTCCAAACGCGTGCCAAACGCGCTCATCAGATCATATATAGATCAGAATATATCGATATAGATCTAAATATATGTGCTGACTCAGATTAATAGTTGATGATGATTATTTATTGCTCTGAAATGTGCCTGACACTGTGGAAACCTGCCGGTGAGGCATCAGTGACGTATGTCGATACGCCGCCGGTCTACCAAAATACTACTAGACCAGCTGCGTTCCGCCTTGCGCTGAAAGCTGACCAGGTTTGAATCGGCGAGCTTTCAGCACACTTTACACGCCGTTGGCGAGCACGAAAATGTCACTGCGCCAGCTGATTCTGTCAACACCTCCC